ATGCTAGCAAGGAAGGAGATTCAAGGCTCAGTGATGCTAACAAGAACTGTTGTGAGAACAAAGAGATAAATTGGGGCACATTATGACCTTGGGGGTGAGAGAAAAACAGCCGTGGGAGGGAAACAGGTTCAAAGCAAGAAAGATGTTTATGCATACCAGAAATGCCACAAGGGGCTGGGATATTACAATGTGACCTTTTCTATGTATCCAATGGCTGAGATATTATAATGTAGCTTTTTAAATGTATCCAATAGAGTTACAAGTAGTGTAATGTAGATTGCTTATATAAGGTGTGATTTCTTTCAATAAAGTTGAAGCTTGCTCTATCATTCACATTGAATCGGCTGCTTGCTTCCTCCGCCCACCGCAATCTCTGTGTTCTTGACACTCTCAGATTTCCACCTGTCCAGGAAAATCCTTACTTCCTTCTCAAGTAAGATTCCACCTGAAATTATCCAATTTTTGTTACACTGCATTTTTTGGAAAAGAATGGAGAGTTTCTCACTGACATTATTGGAACTAGATTTTGTCTGGAGGAGTATTTTGTGAGTAGAAGCCTTCAAAGGCTTATCCGTACTGGGAAATTCACAGAGGATTTCCAAAGCTGAATACATGTTAGAAACCTCTAAACCAAGGCTATAACAGATATATGTATTTTTTCAGTTAATCTATACCTACAAATCTCACTGGACCAGAGGGTTATGGGAGCACCTACAGATATGAGTAGCAGCAACAGTCCAGCCTGCATATTGCTGGTGGCGTAGATGGAACTATGAAGTCTGGTTATTTCAAAAGCTTTCCAGGTGCTGGCTGTCACTTTCTGCAAAGAAAAAAACCAACCCAAACCAAAGTCCTCTTCATTAGCAGCTAATAATCTCCACAATACTTGAAGACGGATGAAATTCCGGTCTGTTTCATATGTAAGTACAGCTTTGCTCCTTCACCTTGTGAAGTGCACCCTAGAGTGGAAAGAGAAAACAGCCAGCCACAAGGTGGATTTTACTGACAAGAAAGTCTCAGAAAACTTGTAGATGGTCCGAGAGGACAGAGGTGTGCAGAGGGAGAAACATCAAAACGTCCTGCTATTACTAGGTATTACCTAACAGCTAGTTAATTCCCATTACCAATATCAATGAGTATTCTCCAGGTATCCAGTGAAATGAATACAAACATTCATCAAGTTTGTGTGTTATGATCCCCACTTCCTATTACACATGCAGCTGCCCTGCTACTCTCACTTCTTTTGGGTATCACATTATAAAGTCTGCGTTGTGGAGATCACATTATTCTATAATAGTGAACAGCAATAGCAACAGAGTCAGCTCTAATTCTTTAGTAAGCTCTCTAGGTAGTGCTGCAGGACACTGTCAGGGCTCAGTTCCTGTCCCCCACCTAGTGAAAAGGTAAGACTGTGGAAGGACACAATGTAGGAAGGTACTTAGCAAAGTTCATACTGAGTGGTTTATCTAGAATGGTTGTGAGTTTTAAAGTGAAGGAAAAAAACCCAGGTCAACAGAACAGGATAAACTTTTGACACCCTTCCATCCCATTCCTATTGTCCTACATTTTGACTTTGAAGTTCACCAAAATTAGGAGACACACTGAAAGATAACAGGAAAACACTGGAAAGGCAACATGACAAAATAGCAGATGCATCACAAATTATTCCAAAATGGTACGCTGAAGTATCATACACAACATCAACTTTAGAGTCTAGTGGCCAAAACACATTTTAGAAAATTCTGTTGTCTTCTACGGTGCAAAATTCAAGCCCACTGCAGATGCACTAAAGCCTTTTATCATACCAAGTCAATATTGAAAGAAAAGTTAATGAATTAGTTGTAGAGTGGCTTCTGTTCCCCTGGAAATCAGGGAGGACTGCATGCTACGTCCTACCCTGGGAACAGAAACAAACCCAAAGCTACTTTAAAAACCCACACACATATTGACAGAGTTAATAGGAGCCTCAAAAGCTCTTTGCAGGTCAGTCCTTCCCCCCTTCCTCATAGGGGCACCTGAGAAAATATGCAACAAAAACAATGGCTGCGAGTTCACCCTCTAACCTTTGGCACAGAAGTCAGTCTGACAGAATGGACTCTGAAACTATGCCATACGGTACATGAATGCACACATGTTCAACTGTATGTGATCCATTAAGTCCACAGAATAACTCCTCCTCACTCCAGTAAGCTTATGCCATTCTCCTGTCAATAGATTACAACTCCATCTTTTCAGCATTATTTTCAAGGGAAGAACATCTGTAATTCCCTCTAAGGACCTGGAAGCACAGGTTTTCATAAAAATAGGCGATACAACATCCATAAACAAAAAGACATTGTTTAAGGTTTCTCTTCTGAAACATTATGGTATAAATGTCTCTTATTGTTTATCTGAAAAAGTCAAGTATGTGACCCTCTTCCAGAGTACACATAAATAATCAAGTAGGCAAGAGATCAATGGGAATTTCAGTGAAGCTATTGATTTAGTTTTTGCACACGAGCTTGCAGGCCATATTTAATATTTAAAAGAAACATGAGCATCTTTAGAGCTGAAGGAAATTAGGGATTAATATCAATTGATGAAAATATCTACATGGCCTGTAACAAAGTTCTCCCAGGGTCAAAGCTGCCTTCGTAAGCTATGTGCACATGCCTGTACCATTGTCCCTTCATTCCAGAGAATCCCAAGAAAGAGCTATCTACAGGTTGAAAAGTAGATCTCGCCTGTGGGATGTATACAGTCCTAGCTGAAGTCAGATGTAAATCCTAGTTTGCAATTGCTAATAAGAACAGTCAGAACATGGTCCTGTATCATCCTACAGAAATGGCTTCCCCAGTCATAAGTGTACTGCAACCCTGTTCCCAGAAAGGGACAGGGTTAAAGAAACTCTTTTCAACATGACTACCCATGGCAGCTCCTTCCTCATCACATGCACTGATACAGTTCAGAAATGTCCAGGACTCCCCATGCATTGTATAGGAAGATAAGGTACTTGTCTTAAAAGTACAAAATCCAGCAGTTGCTTGTAGAGGCCTGAGCAACACTGTTGTTCAAGTCCCCAGCCTTTACACAGCAGACTACCCATAATGATGGATCAACTCCCTGATTAGGTAAGTGCAAGACATAAGACAGACAACATCCTCATACAGCTACCACGCATGTGTCAGGCTCACAGGGGAAAATTCATTTCTGTTCTCACTCTACAATGAAATTTATGTGTAAGTCGAGCACACAGCTGTATCAAGCAGTTTAATAATAGGCTATAATGAGTGTGTGGATGGTGATATTGCACAAACTGTCTGCCACTCTGTAATGCCTGTACTGACTCATCAGGAGGCAGCAGTACAGTGACACTGTCTGGCTTATTCAATTATGTTCCCTCTGTTCAATGACTCTGGTTAGAGGCCTGATAGTCAAAACAACAGCTACATTAAATATGCTGCATAATATCCTACAGCAGTTAGGAAAGCCCTTAGCTCAAATACTGCAAGAATATTTTACAGGCTATTGAAGAACTTGAATGAGAAATTCTTCATCTTAGCTGTAAGCTATATCCCATCCTGTAGTGCAACATGTGCCCTCCATCAAGTGCTGTAGATATAGAAGGGTCAAAGAAGCAGAAAGTCACCCTGAAGTTAGTGCTGAGTCCAGACTGACAATTACAAAGTCCTCAGGTCTGCATTTCCCCTAGGTGCAGAAGCACTGTCCTCTGTTTATAACTTGTTTTAGAGAACCACATTTAATTGTAAGAAATTGGTGCTAGACCAGCAACACACCCAAAAAAGCATGTGAAGCGGCAAGAAGTTAGTCAAAAATTCCATTAATTAATACTTGGCTTAAGAGAAACATACTTGTGCAGTATTCACTTTATTACAAAAATGTTTAAAATATTCACTCCCAAAAAGTTGCAAGTTAAACAAGTTGTGTGCCCATGGGAATGTTGCATGATGACTGTCACATCCTTTAACACTATCAAACTGCCCTACCACTACTTGGCACAAAGTTAATTAGAATCTCCTAAGTCTTTTGCAAGAATAAATGTGCTTTGGAAAGCTGTCTTGCAGATACTTGCTGTCCCACGGACAAACCAATACAGCTGATTTCAACTTACAATTTTAAGTAGCCCTACTGTGGTTCAGTTTATTCAATTATCATTTACTGGTTGTTATTATATTGTCTAACCACTTGCTGACCTCTTCTGTCTCTGCTAGCTTCTAAACATCCTGATCCTATCCCTTTCCTCTTCTTTCACTGTCTACTTTGGGATGGCTCTATGACACTGTCCAATACTCACTGCACAGCAGGACTTAATCAGTGATTTCTACCCGAAGTGTTCTCTTTCCTTCATGCTCCATGAAGTCTAAGTTTTGAAAAAGGCAAACTTCAGACAATTTTTTCTGCACTGTAGAAGGTCACATTGTACACCACTCTGCTAAATTAGTTTTTGCTGTCAAACACACTCCTCCTTCCAGACGCAGACAGCACAAAGTTTTGTATAAATTCTTTCTCTGCAAAATTTGCATAGAAAATCAGTAGTTCCCAGGAGTATATAAAACACACTAAAACACGTATTACAGCCCATCCTCAAATCCTGCATACTGGCATGTAACAAAACCTACATACCTTACCCACACAAGCTAGCCCTCACCTCTATGCTTAATAATGGATTATTTGGGAAATAGTGAGTCCCGGCTGACTAAATAAGGTTTTTCATTCCTGCCTCAGTAATCAGGAACTCTATAGCTCTTCCTGCCAAACTCCAGTCTCATAGATGACCATACTACAATCTGGAGTATCTGAACACCTTCCAACACTCTCCCAAGCTCTACTACTTGCCTAGGTAGTAGCTAAGTCTTCTTGCAATGTCTCTTGCCTTTGAACCTCCTTAAGTGTGTATGGCTTTGGCTGGGATAGAGAGCAACTGAAATAAGCTGTCACATCAGTGACTGTGATCCACATAAAAGTCACAACCAATATGCCCTACAATTCTCTAGTCATACCTGAGGTTTAGTTTCCTCTTCATCCTTATAATAGAAGAGCTGGTCCCCACGCAGCACAAACCACCGCTGCTGCCAGTTCTTCATAATGCTCCTTTGTTTCTTCAGCCAGCCACACTTCAGCACACGTTCTTGAGGGTTTGGAGAAGTAGATCTGGAGGGAGGCCCAATCTGTTCACCCATCACCAAACTTTTTGATCGGGCTGAAAAAGCAATTACAGAGTAAATGAAACAAATAAATAAGGATAAGCACATACACAGAGGTGAAATAACAGTTCCATACTTTTTTCTCAGACATGGACAGACCATTACATGCATGCTCCTCTTCGACCAGGTACTTGTTTCTCAGGGTGTATATTCAAGTTGATGATAGTCAAACACAAGACAAACATCAACCTTTTGGTACTGCTCATTCTAGCAACCTTCTAAGTGACACAATACCTCCACTGCTCATACTACCTTTCTTTGTGGCAAGTCATTACTATCTTCTAGCTCTACATGGAAATAAGGATATTGCTCTCTCCTAAAGGGTTATTTACCCAGTGAGGATGTGTAAGTGTGGTGAGGGGGAACAGAAAAGTAGGAAGGGGAGACTATAAGAAAATATTCTCACTCCACACACTTATCCCTACTGGGCAATTAGTCAGTGAAACCAGCTGCCACAGGGGAAAAAAAAAAAAAAAAAAGATTCAAAGCTGAGAAAAATTCAGAAAGAGAATAGTCACATATAGATAACACAGCTACCCAAGAATGATTAGAGTCACCTCACTGTTCAAGGCTTTCTGACACTGAAGCAGAAAACCACAGTAAAAATAAAAGAGACAAGACAGAGGGAAAAAAAAACCAACATGTAAATCTCAGGAAAAGCTTCAGAAAAGTCTATTGTCCTTTCCTTCCTCTTCACACATGCCTACAGTAAGAGTACTGAAGCTTAGTGCATTTAAAGCTACTGTGAAGTAGCAGATAATTATTATATACTGCAGGCAGCAAGCCATTCCTCTAGAATGGATAGGTTTGATGACTTCATAGGTCTTTTCCACTTCTACTTCATTTGGATTTATGAAGTATCTTATAATAACAATTATTAAATATCTCATGTCATTTTCCTTCATTAGTGCTAACATGATCCTATTCCTTCCTATCTTCTACATTCAGATAACTTAAAGCACAATTTATAATCATCCACCTGAAACAGAGTTACAGTTTACAGGCCAGTACCAAAATCCACATCCCTGATGTCTCCTATTCATGCCATAAACTGTTGCAGCTAAAAACCAGGCAAGCTTCTTATTAAGGTTATCCCTGATACACTACAGCTAATTCAGGCTGTCACAACAAAGGGCAACTCTCCGCCTCTCAAAGTGCTGTCTAGTTTTGCTTCTTTGGGGTTTAGACAATTAAAATATGTGGCCTTGACACTACCACCTAACTTTGGTTTCTGCCTCCGGTGCCTCACCACAGTGATGGAACTGACAACATATGCCAAAAAATATTTAAAGCGGAGGTGGTAGTTGGGGGAATTAAAAAAATAGTAATAAAATCTACTTTGACCTTCCCCATGACCTGGCAGTCAGGCCAATGTGTTCTTCATAAACAAATGTAAACCCAGCACTTTTACACGCTAAACATTTCTGTCAGCGGAAGGCAGATCTGAATAGTACCACATCATCCATTACCGAGAAGTATCAGTGACAGCAATCTCCACTTGTATAGTGCCATATACTTCCCCGCCAACCCTGGCTTAAAAATCTGCTCACCTCTCCTGTAGTCATCTAGTAGGCACTCAGTCTGGCCTCTTGACAACTTCCCAGTTTTACAGGCAGAAGATGGCATTGCTTTATTAGTCTTAAATTTCAGACTCAGTGAAAGCCCAGTCTGAACACAGAGGGATTTTTTTTTTTTCCATTTCTCTGAACTGCTAAGGTAAGCTCTGCTTCCCAACAAAACTGCGAATAACAGGTTTTGCCTTACGCCTCACTCAAAATAAATTGTTTCAACCTATAACTATTTCCTGCTGTAAAAAATTATTTTTGTTTTCAGTTTCACTGTAAAATTGAATTTAACAGTTGAAATATTATAAGAAGTGCTGGTGACGTATCATAGCTTTTTCAGAATTACACTTCCCTTATTTTTGGCTAAAATACCTTGCTGAGTTTAACCTGAGCTCATAGCATTAGTTCTACATTAGTGAAGTTTACCAGCAAACTTCAGATTTGCTTGTCACTCAGCTCTCCTCAATTCTGATTATTTTTACATAGCCAAACAATAAAAATAATCTTAATATATAATTCACTTAAAATAAGGTTTTGATGCATCCAGACTTACTCTCTAAGCTTAACTCACCATAGTCTGAGCTCTCAGAGCAGCAATTTCATTCCAGCAAAACATATAAGGAAACGCTTTTCACCATGCAGCAAAGATCCTTATGCCTTAATGTATCCCTTTTTGGCAACACAGTGCCCTCTAGCAGACGATTCCAAAAAATACTAGAACAATTTGTTTCCTCTCCCTGCCCCACTTCACTGCCAAGAAATGGAGGATCCTATGTCATACACATGGAGTAAGAAAATAGACTTTTCACATTTGAATCTCTATTGCAGAGGCCCATAAGGATTTAGTTGATGGAACTATCTCTGCGTTGTCCCAGGCCACATTTTACAAGGACTGAACTCTAATCTGGTTTAGTCTGTTCCAGATCCTTTTCCACATTCACGTTACAACATATGTTATTACAAGAACAAGTATACCAAGAATCTGCTTTTCCAAATGGAACTACAATGTTCCTTCGGTAACATCTTGGCTATCAACTTAACCAGTTAGTCTAATAGTAGCAAAACCCATACTTCATTAAACACCTCAGTCATCTCCACACTGAGCACCTCATCACTCTCCAGATTAAGCATGCAACCAGCAAGTTGTCTTGAATATAGTTAGATAAATGCCCTCCTACTTCACCCCTCTTCCTAAAAAGAAATTAGGTTTATTTAACTGGAAATCTACTACCTTTATTTTAGCATCTATATTGACACCAACCTCAGAAAAGACATCAAACATCTAGCTTTGGAATAACCCAAAGTATGTTACCGCCTATTTCCCCTATCACACCTGTTGGTGTTATTTGTACAGCTCTACCTAGTAATTATTTAATATAGCAAAGAGTTAAGTCCTATATGATCAGCTGCTAGAGAATGTATATCTTCATATTTTTATTTTAAACAGCACCATCTCTTAGTTGATTGCTATGGTTGTTAATTCTTCATGCTGTCTTAGCTTTCTATTTCCTCAGAGTTTCTAGTCATGACAGGTAATTTCATTACAGAGATACTCAGCAACCTCATCCATAAGTCAACAACATGGATCAGATAGAAATTTAGAAGGAGGAATTATTTATGGCTATTAACAGCATTATGTATATATTGCATGCGTCACAGAATACAATAATTGCATAGAGGTCAGAAGAAAACTTTCACTTTAAAGCAGCAGGTATCTGATACTGTTAGTATCAAAATATCTGCTTTAATAATCTGATCCAGTACATCAAGCCCTTGATTCTTAATAGTGGATATATATTCTTAGTGCTCATCTATTTAACAGAATTATGGAATCAGCAGAGCATAAAGAAGAAAACAAGTCAATAAATTGGACTCAAAACAACTCAGCAGATACTTTACATGCTCTAGAGTTCTGAACAAGTAATGCCTTTTCAGTAACACCACACAGTTTGGTTTTGCTCTTCACATTTTCATTAATTGATTATTGATTCAGCCATATGCTTAAGTTCTAAACAGGAATCAATGTAGAAAGGATTCAAGCTCTCATTGGAAAAATGTTTACAATTCATTTGCACAGCACAGCAGTACTGAAATGCCAACTACAGGACATACCCACTGAGAAGCAGGAAAATAGGCAGTCAGAGCACAGTAAGATGACAATCGACCAGGCAGACCCATATCTTTGCTGCCCCACAGGCAGCACTAGTAATGAGACAAGCCTGTTTTTTGGGATAAATCATTAGAAGGCAAGTATCAGAATCAAAGACCCTGGAAATACTCCTGTGACTGGAAGTGACACTAGTATGGAAGTTCTCATATCTAGATGAAGATGGGAGGAGGAATACGAGCAAAGGCAATGGGGTGACAATCAACATCCTTGAGCAAATGCCTGGGCTAGACTAAATAAGCTCCTCATCCAGAACCCCACAGTTGGTTGCCATATTTCTAATGGTAAATGTACCATTACTAAATGTAATAAGGAGTGGATGGACTAAACCAGATGAAGCCATGCTGCCATTCCTTAAAGAGATAATAATCCCTATCCCCATCCCAACTCAGCCTTGCCTAAAGCTACTCTTTCTCAATTTCTCTTCCTGCCCCATTAACAGAGCACCACACACACACGAGTTCCTCTGCAACTCAGACCTGCCTCCAAGCAATATACACATTCCTGTTTTCTCAACATACCTATTTTCTACCCTAAGCATACACATAACATGGACAACTCCTTCCCTTCCCTATCCATACCACCTCTCCTTCCTGAGCTCAATCCTGTCTGGCAACATTATACAATCTCTTCTGCTCTCTGAACACCACTACAGATTTGAGCAATCAACGAGTACCTACTTAAATCTGGGATTTGGAAATCAATCAAGTCCATCCAATTCAATATGAATTAAAGTTGTAATCTTTTGAAATTTGATAAGCAGTTAGCTTAAATCAATATAGTAATTATAATTGATTCTGGCTGACAAACTGTCCTACAGTGAAGGCACTTTGATCTAGTGCTTCTTCAGTCTAATGACATAGCAGCACTACATATTGTCTCTGATACAGCCTTTTTTAAAGTACTAGCCACAAAGGGAAGTGGTTTCACATACAATAAAAAAATACTCATTTGTTTTATTCAATTCAAACTTTGCCTCAAAAATGGATGCACTGAAAACACAAGACTCGTATGCCTTAGAGATACTATATTTGTCTTCACCAAATTGCAGGAAATAATCTACTTGGTTTAGATTTGTTTTCTGTGTCCATTACACATCTGTATTTGTGTTCAGATTTGACTGCTAAAATACCACAGCCAGCAAGCACAAATGAAACCAAGACACTTCCTCAATGCAATCTGAGAATTTAGCATTTGACAGTCAATAAGGAAAGAAATTAAAGGCATAATATTTGAAGTGGTTGGTGGTGAGATGTGTTCAGGC